TGAATGATAGCAATAAACTCTAACATTTCTGCTTTGGCCCTAACAGACCATTCTCCACAAAGGACCAGAGGGTTTAAACATGAGTCAGATCATATTTACCCCTCTGTTCAAAACTTTTCCGTGGTGTCCCCACTCACACTGGGTAACAATGTTAACCAAAAGTGTGAAGAAAGGCCGCCAAGGCCCTATGTGATTTGACCTGCCACCTTTCCAACCTTGTATCTTCCCAATCTTCTCCTCTCCCCTCTGCTCCAGCTACTCTGGCTTCCCCATTGGTTTTCAAACACGACAAGCATCTATCTACCTCAAGATTCCCTCTGCAAAGAACACTCTTCCCCCACATTTTCACACGGCTCACCTAGGCTTCTGCTAAAATGTCACATCATCCATAAGGCCTTCCCAAACTATCCGACATAAAATAATATTCCCCCATCTCCACGCTGAGGGGGGATCAAATACTCTTAATTTCCCTTCACCGTATTCAATACCATTCAATGTGTATATATACACACACACGTTTATTATTATTATTATTTTTTTTTTTTGGAGACAGAGTCTAACTCTGTCACCCAGGCTGGAGTGCAGTGGTGTGATCTCACCTCACTGTAACCTCAGTCTCCTGGGTTCAAGCAATTCTCACGCCTCAGCCTCTCCAGTAGCTAAGATTACGGGCATGCATTACCACATCTGGCTAATTTTTGTATTTAGTAGAGATGGGGTTTCACCACGTTGGCCAGGCTAGTCTCGAACTCCCGAATTCAGGTGATCCACCTGCCTCAGCCTCCCAAAGTGTTAGAATTACAGGTGTGAGCCACCACACCTGGCCAATTATTCATATACATATACATTTTTTAAAAATTTGTTATTCCCTCTGTCCCTAAGAATATAAATCGTACATGAACAGGGACTAGGCTGTATTCTCTGCTGTCTCCTCAGAGATTAGAATAGGGTCTGGCACATAGTAAGTGCTCAGGATACATTTGAAGATATTTGCCTCATTAAAAAGTAACAAGTTGCTATATATATCGGTTTTGTTTTTTTTTTTTTTTTTGAGACAGAGTCTCGCTCTGTCGCCCAGGCTAGAGTGCAGTGGCGCGATCTTGGCTCACTGCAAGCTCCACCTCCCAGGTTCAAGCCATTCTCCTGCCTCAGCCTCCCGAGTAGCTGGGACTATAGGCGCCCGCCACTACGCCCGGCTAATTTTTTGTATATTTAGTAGAGATGGGGTTTCACCGTGTTAGCCAGGATGGTCTCGATCTCCTGACCTCATGATTCGCCCGCCTCGGCCTCCCAAAGTACTGAGATTACAGGCGTGAGCCACCACGCCCAGCCCACTATATATATTGTTAAAAGGAACATTCAGATAACAAAAAAAGAGCTTCTGGAAAAAGAAGAAATAAAACTCTAAATAGAGGGTCTGGAGGATAAATGTAGATATGAAAATCTCACCCGATGCAGAGTAGAATACCAGAGTTGGAAAATAGGAGAGAAATATAAGAAAATTAGACAACCTGTCCAAAACATTCAATATCTCAATAATACATGTACCAAAAAAGAAAATAAAACAATCCAAGGACACTTCCTACCACTGCAGCTGTGACTTTCACAAATGAAAGGCCTACTGAGTGCCAGCATAATGGATGGCTCATCATCGCAAGAATTCAGAACACAGAGGACACAAAAGATTCCCAAAGCGTCCAGAGAATAGAAAAACAAGTTTCACAAAAATAATCAAGAGTTAGAACAGCACTGGACTTCTTACCAATACCAGTGGGAACCAGAAGACAAAGGAGCAGTATTTTGAAAACACAGAACAACTTAAAGTTTGCACTCCTATGCCCATACAACTGCCAATTAAGCGTAAAAGTAGAATACGGCCATTTTCTGACACGTAAGGTTTCAAAAATATTTACTGCCATGTTTTCTTTCACAAGAAGCTACCAGAGAATGCACTCTACCAAATGACCCAAAAAAAAGGTTAACCAAGAATGAGGAAATTATGAGTTCTAAAAACCTAAGAGAAAGGCAAATGGAACCCCAGGAGGAAGGTCACAGCTGTGCAGCTGGCCTACTGAGCAGCCGTTCCGGGTCACGTCAGAAGACTTGGAGGGAGAATTCTTCAAAAAAGTAGTATGACAGTCCTCTTAATGTGTCTGGCTACATTGGATATTGGAGGTTTACACAACTGCGGTACAATCTGAAGGCGAAATACATAGAAAACAATACAAACAAAAAGGTAAGTATTACCTTCATAGAAAACAAATAAAGAATGAGAAAGGATAAGCAATCATAGTATACTATCGCATGGCTCAGCTTTTATACTGTTTAATAATGTAAGCACTGAAAACGATTATAGCTAAAATGAACTATATTGGGAAGGATAAAAATAAAGCTGTACAGAGTCAGGGCAGTGGATGGTGAAAAGCTAAAAAACCTTTAATCATTGTAGGAAGTCAATAAATAAAAACTAAAACTGGAATTTGAAGATAAAGAGGTAGATGCTACAAGAATCAGCTTAAAAAGCTGAAAGTGGCTGCCTCAGGATCTAGAAGGCTGAGGGCTTTTGTTTTCCTTTTTGTTTACGGAACTATTTGTCTATCTGCAGAAAATACAATTATCAAAAGGTCCCATACCACACTAAACTTGTAGTGGAAGATAACTTTTCAGATGGACAATTTTAACAATGTGTCTCAAAATAGTAAATGCACGCACTCTCTGACGTAGCAATCCCACTTCAACGAACTGACCCTAAGAAAAATCATTTACAAGGGGAAATAGCTGCATGAATTAGGATATTCATTGGTCACTGAACTGTTCATGCTACTAAAATATTAGAAATACAATTTCATTCAATAATAGTAAGTAAAACATACTAGAATGCAATGCAACCAGAAACCATGGAGTTTTAATCCCCATTCACTAAGATGGGAAAATGCCAACATTATGTTGAGCAGGGGAAAAGAGTTACAGAATACCAGGTATAATCTCATCTTATAAAATGTTTCATTTGCTGAAACCTCTTTTGCTCTTTCCCCACATGGCCATGTGGCTTGCTCTCTCATCTTATTCCGATTTTCAAATGTTCCCTCCTCAGACGGATCTTACAAGACCACCTCTTCTAAACAGGCCATCTCTTCCCTGACAGCCTTTTCACTCGACCCTTTAGCACAGGCCCTGATGAATGAAACCAGATCGCCTAGACCTGAATCCCAGCACTGCAAACTGTTAGCTGTGTGACATCTGCAAGTCCTGGGACATCTCTGTGCTTTAGTTTCCTCACATGACATTCAAAAATAACAAGAATACACACCCACGGTTTATATGCTTGGAGGAAGAAGTGATTTAATGTGTGTTGTATACTTGCTTGGTGTGAATTAAGGTTCAATATATGTTAATGATCAAAATTCTCTCTCTTTTGCATTCTTCTGGATGATTTGAATTTTTTCACAATGAAAGAAAACGTATCTTTCATACAAAAAAATACATTTAAAAACAAAGAAAGACAGAAAGGAAAGAAAAAGTACATATAATCCCATTACTTGTTCGGTCAGTATGTCCCCATTTGAGACCATCCCCATCTCAGACCATCCCTACTACCCCAATTGACAACCATCAAATTCTTTTCTCTGCTTATACAGACACACATATGTAAATGTAAGTACTTTTATATTAAGTAAAATTGGGATCATGTCACTCACTTTTTTCATTTTTCAATATATTGAAGACATGGTTCCATCTCCTGATTCTTTTTAACTGCTGCACAGTATTCTATGTAGTAAGGACCAAGGTTTAAGCATTCCCCTAGTAATTGACATTTAGTGTTCTTAGCTTATTGCTACCACAATGCTACAATAAGTGTGAAGATATATCCTTATATACTCAACCTTATTACTAGATTCCCAGGAAGAGCTTAATCATAAGAAATAGATTTTTTAGTGGTTTTAAATAGGTACCAAAATATACATGAAAAGTTATGTAAAGTATAAAACGTAACAATAATCAGTGTATCACATAGTTGAACTATTATTATATCTGAAGCTTCCCATGTGCCCCACCCTGATTCTATGGCAGAGGTATTACGAAGGCTGCCATTTATCAATCTTCTAATTTTTTCTTCTATTTGGTAAAGGAAACTAATCTCATTATTTCTTTATTTTTTATTTCTTTAATGCTTACAAAAGTTAGTATCTTCTCATAAGTTTATTGGCTATTTGTTACTTATTTTTATATAAACTGTTACTCATTTCCTTTGTCTATTTTCCTATTGGGTTGACTGGGGTGTTTTGCTTTCCGACTTACAGAAACTCTTTGCATATTAGGGATATTCACCCACTACTATTATTCATGTTGCAAATAGCTAACTTTATTTTAGTATATGGTTGGAAATGGGAATCTAACTTTATTTTCTTCCAGATGCATAGCCAGTCATCCCAACAGCATTTCCTGAATACTTCAACCTTTCTTCATGAATACAAAGACTTTACTATATATCAGATTTTCATATACCGTCATTGACCACATAAGGACACTTAAATCAATGATGGATCATATAAACAACAATGGTTCCCTAAGGTTATAATACTGTATTTTTACTGTAAATTTTCTATGTTTCGATACATTTAGATACACAAATACCTATCACTCTGTTACAGTTGCCTACAGTATTCAGTATGGTAACATGCTACACTAGCTTATGACATAGGAACAATACACTATACCATCTAGCTTATGTGTGTAGTAGGCTATCCCATCTAGATTGGTGTAAATACACTCTAGGATGTTGGCACAATGACAAAATCACCTAATGATGTATTTCTCAGACCATATCTCCATTGTTAAGTAATGCACGATGTATGACTGTATACAGATACATGTACGCATATGTATATGAATGTATATAGAAAGAGATACATGTATATGTGTACATATATATGTAGCTGTTTCAGACTTGCATTCTAACCTGGGTAACACAATGGATTAGGCCAAAAGAAATCACTCACCTGTCCTTCTTCATCAAAAGCCATGACCACCATAGCAGCTCCAAACTTTTTAATCTTCCTGGCCTTCTCCAAGAAGTCATCCTCTCCTTCCTTCAGACTAATGCTATTGACAATGCACTTCCCTTGGCAGCACTTTAACCCAGCTTCAATCACAGCAAAATTGGAGGAGTCGATGCACAAAGGTACCTGAGATCAGAAAGGCAAGAAAATCACAGAGAGGCCACAAGTCACTACAAATTACTTTTCAAAAGCTCTAAAGTATTCCCTGTTTCTTCTTTAGCAAAACAATAAACAAATAATAGTAGTACATCAGAGACAGAATTTTAATACACTTATTCTTTAAGACCAAAATACTTGGAGTAATTTCAGTATTACAAGATACTCCATGCATGGGCCAGGGATTTATAGCTGAAAGATCATAGCTAAACATCAGAATGAAATCAGTGGGATCAGTTCACCAGCTTCAGTGCAATACACTTTCAAGTGCCTAGGCCCCGAGGCAAACACCTCAGATAGGATTTAGACATCCCTGATCTGACTTAGGAATTCATGTTTAGCCTTGTGTCCTCTGGGAACAGCCCTCTAGCGAAGTTATTCAAATTCAACCTCTCCTTTAGAAAATCAAGTTACTGATTTTTTTTTACTGAAAAAAAAAAAGAAAGACTTTTAATATTAGAAAGGAAAAATAGATCTAATTACCAACAAATGCATATAATTAAAATAAAGGACAAGACTGAAATGCACAGTTGAGAACAGATTCCTTTTAATTCATACCTCTGTTCCAGGAAAGGTGAAAGGAAGGGCTTGAAGAATTAGATTGATAAAAAGAAATGAAATGAGGCAACTGATCTAGGCTGCATTATGCTTGTATTTTTAGAGACAAGGTCTTACTATGTTCCCTTGGCTGGTCTTGAACTCCTGAGCTCCAGGCATCCTCCCCACTCAGCCTCCTGAGTAGCTGAAACTATAGGTGCACACCACAGCTCCCAGCATAGGCCACATTATTCAATTAAGCCATTCAATAAATAATTAAGTGACTACCATATTAGGCCCATACAGGGAAAACAGTAAGAAAGCCAGGTCCCTGGCTCCACTGAGCTTAGAAAGATAAATAATTAAACAAGTAATGACATAAAGTGTGGTAAAAACTAAAAGCATACGAGAAGCACAGACTGCCATGGAAGCACACGCCAAACCCAATCTAGGAAGCATGGAGAATGGGGCGGGAAAATCCAGGGAAAGCTTCCCGGGGCAGGAAACATTTCAACTGAGGACTGAAAAATGAGTAGTCAGCAATTTCCTAAGCCACGCCACCAAACAAGAGCAAAAAAGAACAGGCACTCCACCATGCTTTTTCTTAGCATGCTAGTAATGACAGGTTTGCTAAGAAAAGGGTCAAATGCAACGACAATACCAGGCCAGTGTATCGGCTCATATTTGCTTGCTGATAGTTTGGTGTCCCAACCCTACTGGTGAAAATGTGCTGGTAAAACAATTTTATGCTTTACCCCATGGGTCGAAATCTGGCCTCCAATAAATTGTGGCAGTAGGGCAAAACCGAGAAAGATAAGAAATTGTTGTGGCAATCAGAACACTAATGGTTTATTGAGTTACATGGGGTCCTTCACAGTTGATAAAGCACTTGCATCTTTACAATTCACAAAGGGGGTTTGATGATCCCATTTTAGAGATGAGGAAAGAAAGTAGGGTCAATAGTCCATTGACTTGATTGGGCCTTACAAGGCGAGTCTACCCTCTTCCCAATACTAAGCTGATAAACAATTGGCTATACCTCTGATTCTAACTAACTTTGAACAAGTTGTCTTGCTTCTTTGTACCTTAAATTCTCAAAATATTTATTCCCAGAAGAATGATGGGACTTTTTAGTAAAGAGTTTTAAGACACAAATGAAAAATGGGCAAATGTAATTCAGTACTTACCACAGACTTTTAACTTAAATCTGCTGAAGCCTAATAAAAAACCAACAGCTCAACCTGAAATATGCAACTCTTAAAGCACTAGGAAGTTTCTTTAAAAAAGAACTTCAAAAATCACTTCCTGCCAGGTACAGTGGCTCACAACTGTAATCCCACCACTTTGGGAGGCCAAGGCAGGAGGACTGCTTGAGCCTATGAGTTCAAAATCAGACTGGGTGGCACAGCAAGACCCGCCCTCTCTACCAAAAATATTTTTTAAATGATGCGTGCCTGTGGTCCTAGCTACTCAGGAGATTGAAGTGGGAGGAGTCTGAGGTTGCAGTAAGCTTTGATTGCACCACTGCACTCCAGCTTGGGCCACAGAGCAAAACCCTGCCTCAGGAGGGGGAAAAAAAAAAATCACTCCTCATAACAAGCTTAATGGCAGAAAAATGAGGTAAGATTTTAAAAAATTTTAGAACTCATTTAAAAATGTTTGAAAGACTGACACAAAAATCAACTTTCACCTTTTAAAGAACAAATGTAAAAGCTGACATAACCTCTTGATTTAATCTTGTTTTGTATTTTTGTCTTAGTCTGATAAGCCTGAAAGTTCTCTCCTTTCTGTTATAAGAAAGAAATCACTGAGTTCCCTTGCCTATGGCAGAAATAGAGCCAATGATTTTCCTTCACAGACAGGGAAAGTGGGTTGTTATTCTGTCCAGACATCTGAGGAGACTCAATTCTCATGAACAATCCCAGAAGCCTCGGAAACAGCCAGGCTGAAGCCACAGCTGTCTCCAAGATCTGCTTTATATGGAAAGGTTATCATTATCTGAGAAAGCTGACAATCAGAAACTACTGTGCTCAGAAAACCAGTTCTTGAGTTCACAGATTAATGGGACAACTGGCACAGTTAAATGAGTGACAAAGTGAGACAAGTAAATCCCCCTGATAAATATAAACTTTGTATAACCTTTGCGATGTCTGGCTCGGAAGCAATTAAGTTGCAAAATCTGGTCATTGCACTCGGACCATCTAGCATGCCATCATCCATGTTGATATCCAGCACCTGGGCTCCCATTTCCACCTGCACTCTGGCAACACCCAAGGCTTCCTGAAGGAAGAATGAGAGAGGAAGCAGCGTTAGGAGACAGTACTTTGAGAAAAGGCTAACGAGGTCATTCCTTACCCTTCCCAGCAATCCTTTCAAATTACACAGACTACCTAGCCAGACTCCCTGACTCTGGGCCTGCTGTCCTCCCATCACTCATCACAAATTAACCTTTCTCACACATCTCTTCCATCACATCATCTCACTGCTTAGAATCCACCAAAGCTGTTTTCCTACCATGAAGATTCTCAATTCCTCAGCATGGCAGTCAAGGCCCTCTGAGCTGGCCCCATCTTCTTACCCAACTGAACTTCCCACTCCACCCCCGCTGGAGCCCTCACCCAGCCAGATCTGTTCCCATCTCTGTGCTGCAGATCATGTTGTCCCCTCTGCTTGGAACGCAATCCCTTTCCCTTCCACATTGTTTAAGACCCAGCTCAAACCCCAACTCCTCCAAAAAAAGTCCTTAGAGAAACCATCCAAAACGATGTAACTCTTCAGTATTTGCCAAAAACTATATAACTCTTCAGTATCTGCTGAAAGTATTCATTGCAGGCTGTTAATAGGAGTTACATGAAAAGAAATGTCAGTTAAATAAGTTTCAGCAGGTTTTATAACACTGGAAGGCTTTTCAAATTCTTTAATGCACTATTATACACTGCAACCTTCCCAAAACAGAATACAGCATTTCCCACTTATGACCATCTAAGGAATATTTTGTAGGATAAGTGTTCCAAAAAGAGTCTTATATACTTCCCACTCTGAACAATGTTGGGCAAAATATACATATTCCATAATGCCTTCTAACTACCGCGACAGAGACTTTTTGTTTATTTAAGTCTTCACTGTACACTTCATAGTGTAACAAAATAAGCAAGGATAAAATCAATAGTAGATGCTGATGTTGTCTTGATTTTTTTTAGCCCAAGAAAATAAAATAGAAACTTTTAGCACTCATTGTGATAGAATAGGCATGAAACCCTATGGCATATGCCACAAGGAAGCACCATATGCACTGAGCCAAGGCCGCATAGAGAAAAAGGATCACAATTCAATTCAGTAAATCTGGACCGGGCGCGGTGGCTCACGCCTGTAATCCCAGCACTTTGGGCGGCTGAGACAGGCAGATCACTTGAGGTCAAGAGTTCAAGACCAGCCTGGCCAACAAGGCAAAACTCCATTTCTACTAAAAATACAAAGATTAGTTGGGTCTGGTGGCGGGTGCCTGTAGTCCCAGCAGCTCTGGAGGCTGGGGCAGGAGAATCGCTTGAACCTTGGAGGTGGAGGTTGCAGTGAGCCAAGACCACGCCATTGCACTCCAGCCTGGGTGACAGAGCAAGACTCCGTTTCAAAATAAATAAAGCAATTAATTAATTCAGTAAATCAAAAAATGTTTTCTAGTATCAGTACCAATTTAAATACAATAAAGAATAAAAAGAAGTGTAAATCACAATCCTGGTTCTTAAAGGGTTTATATCTAGTTGGGGGCACATGTCACAGTCACATAAAAAACTACTGGGCACTGCCATACAATGTGTGGGTCAAATGCCAAGATGATCTCAACATCCAGGAAAGGGAAAGGTCGCCACAAACCAAAATGGAGAAAGCTAACTGAGAGGGAGCATCTTCAGCTGGCTCATGGGGAATGGATTGGAGCAAACAGACAGGAGGTAAGACAGTAAGCAACAGGGTCAAAAGACCTGGAAAATAGAAATGCCAATATCTGACCTATTTCTTAACAATCACGGAATAACAGCTTCAAGGTCTAACCTTCCCAAACAACCTCAGAGAGATGAAGCAGTTTGTTTAAAGACATTTGAGTTGAGTAAGAACACAGGACTGGAACTTCTTTCAGGTCAATGTTCTTTTCACTAAACCACAAAGGGATCACTAAGACATAAAAGCTAGACTCTAATGAAGAGTCACCTGTCCCTTCCTGTTTCTACTGCCCCCTCCTACTGTTTCCACTAGGCAGAGATAGCAGAGTGGTTAAGGGCACATGCTTGGTAGACTTGGGTTCTATCATTTACTTGCTGTAAAACAAAAGGCAAGTCATTTAACCTCCCCAAGCCTCTGTTTCTACACCTGTAAAATGGGGATAACCACAGCATCTATCTCCACCAGGCTGTGATGATTAAATGAGAAATGACATAAAGTGCTTAGCACAGTGATGGCACATAGAAAGACCTTATTAAATGATAGATATTATTACTTTCACCTGTTTGCTTCTTCCTAAAATGCTCTCAGTGTCAAATCTATCAAATCCACCAAAGGGACACCATAGAATAGGCATAAGAATCAAAACCCTGCCAGCTGAAGAACACTCTATGGCTAGAAGAGTCACTGGCAGTTCAGAAGGAAGCAAACAAGAACAAGGGCACGGAGTCAGAAGCGAGCCTCCTGGAATGTTCAGACGACAGATCAGGATGGGAGGGCAGTTTAATATCTAAGTGAACAGGACGGAATGACAGACTAATGAATTTCAGTTTTATTCCATATGCAAAAACAAGTCACCCTGTGGAACTTCCAAACTGGGAAGGCTCATGATGGATGCATACAGGAGCACTGGAAAGCAGCAAGAATGAGGGGAAGACAACTGACAGGGGAAGTGGTGAAACTGGGCAACCAGGCCCTGCTAATGTGCCAGCTGAGGGACTGGGAAGGAAGACACGCCTCCAGGGATGCCATCAGGTAATAATGAACAGGTCCATGAAGGGGGATACACGGTCCTTTCCTTGTTATGAAAACTAAATCAGCTCTGATACTGGTTTCTGGAAGATCTCCTAAAGGTTGCAAAAAAGTGAGGAAAGTTGGATGACAAAGTTAATTATCATCAAAGCCCCGGCCAAATTCCTCCAATTTTAAATTCATATTTTCATAGGAAAATCTATCCAGGAGTCTTGGGTATGCTCTGTATGGATTAAATTATGCTCATCCACAGAGTGACCGAGCTTAAAAACACCATGGCTAAAACTATCACATACACTTTCCAAGGCAAGGGTCTATTTCTTTCGTCTGTTTATTGTAGTCTACAGCTAACAAGATTCATAATACCCTCTCAACAGTGAGCGTTCGACGCAGCCGTAAGGAACTGACAGGAATTTTCCTGTCTTTCCCTTTCCCTAGAAGGATTTGTGAGAAGACAAAATAAAGAGCCTTCTCAAATTTTTTAACTTATTTCATAATTAATAGAAATAGCTAGAACCTGGATCCTTCCCATCTCATCCTACTTCATACACCAAATGCAGTACTTTTTAACAAATATTGACAACAGCAGCTTCAATTTTTCAAAGCCTCATCCTCCCACCAGCCCAACCTGCTGCAAACACACATTACCACCTTCTCACACTTTCTAGCGGCTCTGCTAATAACACTATCAAAGGCAGAGAGCTGTTTCATTTACATGCTGTCTAGCCAAAGACATGGGCAGATGCCTCAGGGGTCTTATTAAGATGCTCACTTCATAGTTTCCTGCCATGATGAGTTTAGCAAACTTCCTTGATCCTGCAACATTACAGCGCTCTCCAATGTTAACAAAGTTGGTGTACTGTCCAATCCTGAAGGGCTCCAGACCTTAAAAGGAGAAGCATTTTGAAAAATTTCTGCAAATGCATATGGATGACATAAGACAGACAGACGCAAATGTATTCAGTAAGAAAGAGAAGTTCCTGCACCACAGCCCATCTGAGCAGACAGGAGATCCAATGTGGAAGCAGGGCCATAGTTGTCTCTAGGGAGATTCAAATGCAGCAAAGGCTATTTGTTACATCTACATTTACAACCAGACTCTCAAAAGAAGAAATATTTCAGAGTTTTATGCTGCAAATAACCTCAAGGACCTAATCATACCATCTCTGAGAAAAAAGAAAAAATAATCATCAACCCCTACTTAACCAAGAGGCTGGGGCAAAAATCATGGACAAAGTTAGAATTGAAAGAGAGGTGTTCCACAGCTGTCTGCTCAGATATTAGCTTGAAGCTATATGGAGTAAGCTTTTTCAATCCCACCAATGGTGTGTTTACAACATTACTTCATTTCTTTGATCCAGAGGCCTAGAACCCATAATAAACAAGGCAGAATCAGGGACCCAGGTTGAGACCTGAGAGACAGGAGTCACTGTGGCAGGTCTACCACTAATGAGCTGGCTCTAGGTAAGCCAGGCGGACTTCTGGTGCCTGTTTCCTTATCTACCAACATCGTAACATCTCCCCTGCCACTGGCCAATTTAGGGGCAAATATCCGATAATACATGTGGATATATTACACTGAAGTAAAAACATACAGTGTGAAGCATCACTATAGAAAAGGCTCTGAACTGTTTTTGTTCTATTCATTATGTTTAAAATATTAGGAGAGCCAGTCTCAAACGTACAGTGTGAAGTAACACTATAGAAAAGGCTCTGAACTGTTTTTGTTCTATTCATTACCTTTAAAGTATTAGGAGAGGCAGTCTCACTAGGTGGTTATAGGCAGGTTCTGGGGACAGACGGCCTTGGGTTCAAATCACTTACCTGAATGAACAACCTTGGGGCAACTTCCCATATGCCTCTGAGTTTACCAAGACAGTAAAGTGTCTGCTTTATACTGTTATTGTAAAGATGAAACTGAATAACATTGATAAGCACAGAATTAGCACCCACAATCACTGCTTTCATTGCTAATAAGAGAAAATGGCTTTTAAGACCTTTGTCAAAGCATGGGCTGAGGAAGAAACAGCTATGAGGCAGAGAAAAATAATGACTATAAACTGCGTCATTATAAAAGCATTCCAGGCTGCTTGGTGCACTGAGATTATCGCTTTCCATGCCCAGTATTGGCTTATGGTTTCCCGTCCACCCGGCAATGATCCTCATGGCCCCAGCCTTCCATGCTAGTCCCAGGGTATGCCCGATCTTAGTCTGACCCTGAGGTTCCCAGGACAGGCAAGCAGGGAGCCAACATTTCAATGCTGACATTTCCGTGTGACTCCCCCGCCAAAGCATCTCACACATAGTGCGAATGATCTATTATGAATGTGAAGTACTCGATACAAAGATCACACTTCTCTCAAGCTTGTGGTTTATAAAAGAACAATTTTAAATAGCACATCTGATGTCACTCTTTTAAAATCTGATGGAAGGTGACTGTTTAAAGCAATTTAGCAATAGCATATGACATTCAAATTGAAGAAAAAATTCTTTTATTCTTACATGTAAATTATTTTTTTAAATCTTACGTAAATGGCTCTCTTGTTTCAATTTTGGCGAAGGCTGAATGTTTTCCACCCTTAGTGCTTGGCTGAAGTAATGCACTAACATTAAGTTCTAGGGATGAAATAAATAAATTTTCCTGCCACACTTCTCTCTGATAAAAGCCACTGTTTCCAGAGAGGGAGTATCATAAACCATGAATCCTACTTTTCCTAATCTCATGCTCTACCTTCTGGAGTATTTAAAAAAAAAAAAAAAGGCTAGCCTGAACATAGTTAGTATTTATTAACCCAACTTCACACTCACTGATTGGGATTAATTCTGTGCTATGTTCTGAGTGAGAAAAGTAGACACTACTTTTGCTGTCATTTGTAATTTATTTTACCTTTCATAGGACAACATATGAAACAAAAATATTTCAATTCAGAGAGATGTTAAATTCTAAGCTATTAGGGAACATAATTCCTCATATGTGTTATTTGCAGGTTCTCTAAAAAATCATACTTTTTCTGCTTGAAGTTACCATTTAATATATCATGAACATACCGAAGCAAAAATATGAAATTTAAAGTTATTTTTCTAACAGTTGGCCAGATGACCTAGTTTAGTAACGTTCCTTGTTTGAACACAAAATTAATGCTGAAAAAGGTAGGCTACGTACCTCAAAGGATTGTTGAGAACCAAAGAAAAAATAAATACCACAAGTCTTTGTAAAGTCCTAAACATGTGGTAAATGTAAGATTACAACAAGAATATTTCAGAAACAAACAATTTTCCAGGATGATGCTGCTGCCATTACCAAACATTACACCTTGGCAGTTTGGAATTTTCAGTAACTAATTTCAACCTGAAAATTAAAATTGTTAGGCTGTGGCCAAGAGTATGTTTTCAAAACAGTGGACAATAAAGATAGGACCATCGAGCCACCACCAAGGACCCTACCTGGGCAAATCACCTGGGCCTTCCTTCACTTTTACCCTAAAGTTGATGTCATCCTGCCCCAGCCCTGGAAAAACAAGGGTTCTTCACTGGAATTCATGTAAGTGCCAAGAATATATGGATTCTTCTTCAACCTAATAAGCAAGCTGCCTAGCACAAATATCACTACCACTTAGAATAGTCACATTCTACAAATGGTTTCTGAAATCACGAATACCAGGTCTTTATGACTTACCAGACAGTAACATATGTCCTTCAAAAACAGTGGCAGGTGGAACTCTAGGCTTACAATTTTTCACAGCTTCAGCAATTTCCCTGAGTTGAAACAGAAAACGCTATTTCCATTAATTCAGAATAAAATATATTTAATGAAACTAATTTCAAAACTAATTTTTAACTATGAAATTGTCTATTTAACATAACTATATATATAGTTATATACTTAATTCCAAGTGTGCAGCAACAATTATGCCTTTTAGTTTTCTCAGCAATGCAGAAAATTAATCTATAAACTGCACCTTTTGTGTGCCTGCCCGTCGGCTATGCGCTGGCTGGGTTGTTTTTACTTTCTGAGACGTGAACCTGGAGCTACATGACAGTTTGCACAAATGCAAACTGCAAACTTCCTTCCACCTTCCCCACATCCACAGATGTCTTTTACTCTGTCAAATCTACACACACACAATCCTCGCTTCCTACTCAAAATTTGAGCAGAAAAAGGATTTCACCTTTGACAAGAAGGAGCAGGCACAAGCAGAGGGGCTAGGAGAGGAGGGAATTAGGTCCAGCGGATCTGCTTTTACTACAGCACACACACAGTAGGGCGGGTACACAGCCATAAAGCACTAAAACTTCAAAATAATTACTCTTAAAGATTTGTTTTAGTAATTCACACTCCATTGAACCTTATCAGTTCTAATGAATCATGTTTTTGATCAACCAGAAAAATCTGGCTACTCCACTAAATTTATCAGGACCAGTAAGAATTGCTCTACTCTACTGTCCCCAAATTAGAATGTGAATGTCTAAGTAAAAGAAGCAAACATATACACAGAGATATAAATATAGATACACACAAACATACACACAGACATTTAAAACAACTCCTCTTTTTAAAGAGGAAACAAAAACAAAAAGAAATAGTTGCTGATCCAAAGATAAGCGACATTTACTGACAGCTTTCAGAAATTATTTACAAGATATTTTAAAAATTATTATTTAGGCCAGGCGCGGTGGCTCACGCCTGTAATTCTAGCTTCTAGCACTTTGGGAGGCCAAGGCGAGCGGATCACGAGGTCAGGAGACCAAGACCATCCTGGCTAACAAGGTGAAACCCCATCGCTACTAAAAATACAAAAAATTAGCCAGGCATGGTGGCGGCGCCTGTTGTCCCAGCTACTCAGGAGGCTGAGGCAGGAGAATGGCGTGAACCTGGGAGGCAGAGCTTGCAGTGAGCCGAGATCGCACCACTGCACTCCAGACTGGAAGACAGACCAAGACTCCGTCTCAAAAAATATATACATATATACATATACACACACATATATATATATATTATTTACTAAGAGTCTATCACAGCAGTCAACAAAAGCAGTGAACTACAAGGTAACTCGGTAGAGTGAACATATTACACACATGAAAACAGACTTGAAACAGTGAGATGACTGGCTGGAAATATGATCATCAGTCACTCCAGGGAAAAAAACAAATATAAACAGCCCTAAACGACATTCCAAATCACTGAATTCCAATCTTCCTAGAAGCTATAAAACTCTAAGGAATGAAACACACGGTCATGCTCGTTTCACTCCCTTCCTTCATATGCTCACTTGAAAACATGAATTAAGTAACCACAGTGAACCAGGCAAAGTGAAGACGCTTCTCCTGACCTCAAGACACCTGCTGTCTTATTGTCTTTTCCTTCCACGAAGGAATCTAATGGAGGCCTGTATTTGCCCACAATAAATATGAGCTGTCCTCTTTGAGCATTCAAATATTACTCAGGTATTTAAGGATAGAATATCATAATAACTGGGATTTATTTTACATAATCCAGGGGGAAAAGTTGAGGGACAGATGAAATAAGAATGGAAAAACATCGAAAATTATGGCAACTATGGGACAGGCATATAGAGGTCCATTTTATTATTTCTCTAAAATTTTTCATAATATAAAGATGTATGAGCTTGTTAGGAAGGGCTGCCATAACAAAGTGCCAAAGACTGGGTAGCTTAAATAACAGAAATGTATTTTCTCATAACTTGGAGGACAGAAGTCTGAGTTGAAGGTGTCAGGCAAGGTTAGTTTCTTTTAAGGCCTGTCTCACGGCTTGTAGCTAGTTATTTCTTCCCTGTGTGTTTACATGGTCTTGCCTCTGTGTGTGCATTTGTGTCCCGCTCCTCAAAGGACACCAATCATATCGGATTAGGTACACCTGTACGACCTCATTTTACCTTAGTCCCCTCTTTAAAGGCCTTATCTCCAAATACAGCCCACATTCTGAAACAGTAGGGGTTAGAACTTCAACATACAAATTTTGGAAGGACACAATTCAGCCCACAACAAAAGGTACATATTTAGAGTATTATCTGATTGTCCACTTGGTTTTAGATATATTGTCTACAGGTGATTATTACCTGATATGATCTGGTGTTGAACCACAGCATCCTCCAACTATATTGACCAAGCCATCCATAGCAAAATCCTGCATTTAGGAAAAGACAAAGTTTCAGCAAGTTCATCTGCATTCTAAACTCATTCCCACCAATTCAACATAAAAGCCATCTATACTTCCTGAACAACTAAGACTATAATAAAAAGAGAGTCAAACGTACTTAACTCTGGATATAAAGATGTCACATGCCCTAGACATAGGATAAAAGCAAAGAATAGTTCAGATGCTGTGAAATCCTTTATACCACTTAAAATGCAGTGAGAGGCTGGGTATGGTGGCTCACACCTATAATCTCAGCACTATGGGAGGTCAAGGCAGGAGGATCACTTGAGGCCAGGCATTTGAGACCAGCCTGGGCAACATAGCAAGACTCCATCTCTACAAAAAATTTAAAAATTAGCTGGGCATGGTGGCATGTGTTTACAGTCCCAGCTACTCAGGAGTCTAGGTGGGAGGACTGCTTGAGCCCAGGAGTTCGAAGCTACAGTAAGCTATGATCACACCACTGAACTTCAGCCTGAGCAACAGCTGTCTCAAAAAAATAAACACAAAAAATAAAGTTCAGTGGGAGATTTGCCTATCTAATGATTTTTTTTTACCCATATGCTGAGCTGAATGAATGTGAGTTGGATAACACATCTTCAAATAACACAAATAGAGTACGGATTTTTAAATTTACATTAATTTTTAAAATGTTTAAATAACAATTCAGTTCCTCTGTCACACTGGCCACAATTCAAGGGCTCCAAAAACCGTATGGTAGTGGCTAGATATGGGACAGCATGAGTCGAGTTTAACCACAGGCTACTGAATAAAGAACACCATAACTAAGAGACAAAGTCAAGGAGCTGAGAAGTCAAGAGTATTGGAAAGATCGTCTACAAAGATAATGATATCATAAGAAGTAAGTCAGAAATAGCTTAAGAGAGAATGTCAGTGAAACAGAAGCTAAAAATTCACGGAACAAGGGGAAAGAGACCCAGGGATTAGTAGCTAAGTGCAGTAAGAAGCGGCGGTGGACAGTATGGTCTCATGACCTAGGATTAAACAATGGCCAGTGTATGACAGACAGGGGAGAACGATGGGGGTGACAATGGGAGGCCAGGGGGACATCTACTCCACCCAGCAGTCTGAGGGGTGTGACGGCAGAAAGCTACAACTTGGGAAGGCTGCAGGGGAAGCAACATCTCAGAGGAGAGCCAAGTCTCAATTATTTGTTTGGAGTGGACCCCAGTGAGAATTTTCCAACAGCCACCAGTGCCAGCTGAGGATAAGGATGCCGACAGTTAGTCCTCCCCTGTGCCTCTAGTACCTTAATTTGGGGTAGCTAAACTTTTCTTTGTTATATGTACATTGGGATTTCTCCAGGGAAAATTCTCCTTCTAAATACTCTAAATCTAAAATTCAACCTCTCTGCCTCTCTTAAAAAGCCAGTGAAAGGAGGACCCCTGACCTTTAGGTGCTTGGCCATCGTAGAAGGCGTTTCATCATAGTCACCAAAGGTGTTGGGAAGACCTGAGAAAGGATAATTCAACTATTATTGCAAATTGCCTTAACAAATATACATTGTATTTTTAAAGACTTTATGTTAATAACTATATAATTTTATATTTATATTAAATGATTACTTGCAAAAACACACACATAATATTTACACAGTAAACAAAGAGATACCACACCTCCCAAAAAACTTAAACACACACACACACACACACACACACACACACACACAACTGCAGAGGAAAATGAACTCTATTATTTCTTTTCCATCTGAAAGAAAAGATTCTATTCACTGTTAGGCAGAACAGAATGCCCCCAGCCCCACCTCTTCCCATAAGGGAAATTCATTCATTCTTGTTACACAGCCGCTTGGGGGTGGGGGTGGAAGTGGAAGGAATACTACATAACCTTTGAACTAATTAATGAGCAACTAACATGCCATTAAAAACCAACAAAAATCAGCCAGTCTCCTTTCGAATAAATTTTCCCAAGTAAGACTTCAGCTTGTAACAATCCAGTTTCTTGTTTTATTTATTATCTGCTTCCAGTTATCTTACTCCTGGTGGGAAATAAAATTTATTGTGCATTAAAATGATATATTTGGAGAAAGAAGGCTAAAAAACGACTTTTCGCTCTAAGTAGCTAAGCAGTGATCAAACACATTCACAGGGAAATCTGGTTAACCCTGAACAAATTACCAATATTCAATGGGAAGTTTGAGAACTGTCTACAAATATCTTCAAAAAATTTCCATATAATGAACTGCAAGTCCAAGCTTTCAGAGAATAAAAAGGTAACACCAAACAGGATTCTTCTTTTGCTCTTCTACTAATAGAATGGACCAGAGAAAAGGGGTCTCTCTTCTCTTCTTTACACCCATCTTTCTGGTCACGTCCACAAGGCTTGCGCTGTCACCAAAGGCAAAACTCTGGTCAGTTATGTGACTAAGCTCATTTCCAGAAGTTCTGTACTGTTCTGAAGCTTCAGGGTGAGCCGAACTTCCCTCAGGTCTACAGGGAAACACTGCACCCAGATACCCTTCATTTATTAAGTGTCAACTATACCAACACCTGCAAAACAAGATCTTTATTCACGCTCTCTTACCTCATCTACGCCATGTCTTATGTTACTTTTATCTCCCCATGTGTGACCCCCTTGAAACACATACCTGCATTGGGATAACAGAGGACATAGGCTGTTGTACATTTTCCAATCATTTCAATAAAAGGTCTCATTTCAGCTGCACCCAAAGCACAATTTAATCCAATGCTAGAAAAACAGAAAAAACATATTAAAAACATCATCTCTCATTCATATTTATGCATATAAGTTATATATAGAGACAATATATCTAAAACCAAGTGGGTAATAAATCTCATTCAAAGCACTTTTATTCAACTACCTTCAAAGCCATCTCATTGAGGTCCCCTGCAGCACTAAATATTTTTGCCAATGTCTCCATCTTCAGATAATCTTACAGCTGAAAGACCCTGCCTATGGATGGACTCCTTAAATTAGTTCACATGGTATACTGTGGGGCAGAAGTATCAACAAGCTAACACTGCTTAAAAAAAAAAAAAAAAAAACTGACCTGAAAGCAACATTTAAAAGGTGGGAAATCTTGGAGGCAGAAGGAACATGGAATGGTGGAAAGAAGCTACCCTTAAAGTCCAGGAGACCAGGACTTAGGCCCCACCCCACAGGCAGAGACCCTGCTATCCTAAAAGGTTGTCAGTGGGTGGCGGGCCTGAGGTCTTCCAGAATTTATGAGCCAACTGCGAAGTTACCAGACTATGTGATCTCTAATGTTTTCACATTTTACTTTTTTCCTTTTACTGTGATTCCTAAGTGCAATGTGGCATCCTAGACTGGATCCTTGAATAGAAAACAGATTATCAGTGGAAAACCCTTGAAATCTGAATAAAGTCTGGAGTTTAGTTAATATAGGTTAAATAGGCCGGGCGCGGTGGCTCAAGCCTGTAATCCCAGCACTTTGGGAGGCCGAGACGGGCGGATCACGAGGTCAGGAGATCGAGACCATCCTGGCTAACATGGTGAAACTCCGTCTCTACTAAAAAATACAAAAAACTAGCCGGGCGAGGTGGCGGGCGCCTGTAGTCCCAGCTACTCGGGAGGCTGAGGCAGGAGAATGGCGGGAACCCAGGAGGCGGAGCTTGCAGTGAGCTGAGATCGGGCCACAGCACTCCAGCCTGGGCGACAGAGCGAGACTCCATCTCAAAAAAAAAAAAAAAAATATATATATATATATATAGGTTAAATATCCCTAATCTGAAACGTGGAAATCCAAAATACTTCAAAATATGAAACTTCTTGAGAACTGACATGACCCACAAAAGAAATGTTCATTGGACCGTATCAGATTCCAGATTAAGGACACTAAACTGTAAGTATAGTGCAAGTATTCCAGAATTCGAAAAACTCTACAATCCAAAAACACTTCTGGTCCCAAGCATTTCAGATAAGGGATACTCAAACTATAGTAATATACTCTTAGTTTTTACAAAAGTACCATAGTCATGCATTACGTTAACATGAAAACTAAAAGAATATAGAGAAATTCTCTGCACTATCTTTGCAACTTTTCTATAAATCTGAAATGATTCCAAAATTAATTTTATTTAACAAACATCCAATACTCATTCATTTAAAAAAATTCAGCAAACTAGGAATAGGGGGAAATTTCGACTTGATAAAGAGTATGTAGAAAAAACTTTCAGCTAATATCACGCTTAATCATGTGAAACTAGATGCTTTCCTGCTAAGATAAGGAACAAAGCAAGGATACCCACTCTCATCGCTTACTCAATATTGTATTTGAAGTCCCTATGCAATAAGAAAAGACAGAAAGTAAAAGGTACACATACTGATCGGAAAGGAAGAAATAAAACTGTCTTTGTTCACATATGACATGATCGTTTATGTACAGAATCCCAAAGAATCACTAAAAACTCCTTGAACAAGCAATTATACCAAGGTTTCAAAATACAAGGTAACTATACAAAACTCAATTGTTTACTTATATACCAGATATAAGCAATCAAAATTTGCAATTAAAAACACATGCCAGGTACGGTGGCTCACGCCTATAATCTCAGCATTTTGGGAGGCCAAGGCAGGTGGATCACCTGAGCCCAGGAGTTTGAGACCAGCCTGGGCAACACAGCGAAACCCCAGCTCTGCAAAAAATAAAAAAATTAACCAGGCGTGGTGGCACACACCTGTAGTCCCAACTACTTAGGAGGCTGAGGCAGAAGGATCAATTAAGCCTGGCAGGTTGAGGCTGCAGTGAGCCATGATCATGCCACAGCACTCCAGCCTGAATGACACAGCAAGACCCTGTCTCCCAAAAAAAAAAAAAAAAAAAAACCCACAAAACCATTTACACTAGCATCAAAACAAAAGAAATACTTGGATCTATATGAAAAAAAAAAGACATTAAAGTGGATCTAAATAAATGAAAACATATTTCAAGTTTATAAAGAGGAAGAGGAAGACAATATTGTTAAGGTATCAATTCTCACACTTGATCTATATTCAAAAGAATCCCAATGAAAATCCTAGCAGTTACTTTGTGACTATCAACAAACTGACTCTAAAGTTTGTATGGCGAGACAAAAGACCCAGAATAGCCAACACAATAATGAGAGAAAAAACAAAAGTTGAAGGACTGACCTATCCAACTCCAATACTTACTAAAAAGCTCAAGCAATCAAGATGATGTGGAATTGGTGAGAGACAAACAGATGAATGGAACAGAATAGAGTCCAGAAATAGAACCACGCAAATATATTCAACTAATCTTTGACAGAAACAAAGGCAATCCAATGGAGAATGGATATTCTTTCCAACAAATGGTGCTGGAACTATTGGACATCTGCATTTGAAAAAGTTAATTTAGACACAGACATTACATCTTTCACAAAGACTAATGGAATGGAACACAAGACGTATATATAAATTGCAAAACGATTAAAACTTTGTAAATAACACAGAAAAAAGTTACATGATCGTGGGTTTGGCAATGAGTTTTTAGGTAAAACACCAAAGGTAGGGTCCATGAAAAAAAAAAACTGATAACTAGAACTTCACTAAGATTTAAAACTGTTCAGCAAAAGAGAGTATTAAGAGCATGAGAAGACAAACCACAGGCTGGGAAAATATATTTGCGAAACACATTATCTGATAAAGGATTTGCTATAGTTTGGATGTGGTTTGTCCATGCCAAAATTCATGTTGAAATTGAATTGCCAATGAAACAGCGTTGGAAGGTGGGGCATTTACAGATGATTAAATCATTAAGATCAAACCCACCAAGTGAGCTCCCTTGTTGCATGCAATGGCGATGTTCACATAGTGCAGAGGCGAATCTGCGTTACACAGAGCAATGGTAGGCAGGTTAACATAAAGACGCCTCCACAAGAGGCTGCTGGTCAGCCCTCAAGTCAGTAACCACAAGAAGCCGTGGTTCCCGGAAGGCTGCCTGGATCTGGTTAGTGAAGGTTCCAGAAGTGAAGCGGCCAGGAACTAGAGTGGCTCCAGTGGCAGCAGCAAACTTCAGCATGGCCCTCTGGTCAGTATTCCTGGAGGATATGACACTGACATCAGCAGGGTTTTTAATGGCAACAACGGCACAAGCTGCCAGCAGAAGCTTCTCCCAGGTCCTCTTCAGATTTATGATGTAGATCCCATCATTTTTCCTTTATAGAGGTACTGTTTCATTTGGAAGTCAAGATTGGTGCCACCTAAATGGGTTCCTGCTGCAAGGAACTTAAGGACATCCTCCTCTTTCATTTGCAGGGCATCCAGGGCTCCAGACATTATGAAAGTTTCCCTTTAAGTTACAATGGGAATCCAGAACACCAGATGGACTCCTCTGTGAGTAGCGCAGAAAGGCCACGGGAGATTTGTTCATAGTTGCTCCAACTTGGAGGCAACCAAGATGGTCTTCAATATGTGAATGGAAAAAACCCGTAGTACATCTTCGCAACGGAATATTATTTAGTGTTAAAAAGAAACAAGTTATCAAGCCTGCAAAGACATGAATGAACCTGAAATGAAGATCACTCAGTGAAAGAAGCCAGTGTGAAAAGGCTACATACTATGTGGTCTCAACTATATTCCATTCTGGAAACAGCAAAACTTTAGAGACGGTTAAAAGATTCCTTGCCAACGAGCCGGGACAAAGAATAAATAAGTGGAGCACAACAGATTTTGGGGGCAATGAAACTACTCTGTATGATACTGTAATGGATATATGTTACTCATGATACATTTGTCAAAACCCACAGAATATACAAAACCAAGAATGAACCCTAAGGTAAACTACAGACTTCAGTTAATAATAATGTATTGATATTGGTTCATATTGTAATAGGTGTACCACACCAATGCAAGCTGTTCATAATAAGAAAATTTTGAGACTCCATCTTAAAAGAAAAAAAGAAGAGAAAACTCTGTCTCCTGTTTTCAAAACCTAGATCAAATGTCACCTTCTTTACAAGCTGTCTCTAAATCCCACAAGAACTCCACTACCCCATGTATTGCCAGATTTTTATTCATAGTTCTGTATAGCATTGTGTATTTTATATTTTAATTTACTTATGCATTTCTCCTCGTGTGGACTATTCCACATTGGCCTGTATTCCAGGACATATAGTAGTATTTCAATAAATATTTGATGAATTACCAGTAATATAAAGGCTCTATCCCACTGTTCTATAGTTCGTGATAAGCGCAAGTCAGTAAGCAAAAGTTTCCTACATATATGTAAGAATATGTATCCTTTTCACATATTATTTGCTGCCTTCTATCTGCCCCTACAGTCTGTAAGATTCATAGCGAAATAGAGAGCAAATACATTCTCTCTGTGAATGGACTGCAGTTGAAGTCACAGGATTATTTTTTAAAATTTTTAATTAAACACTGAGTGGATCAAAAGTCAGAATAAACTGAATGTTTCCTTGAGAAATAAAAACATAAATTATTTAGACCTCAATAAAACCTCCTCTTGGGACTCCTGGAGGTGAGGCAGTGGCAGGAAGAACGTCCTCTAAGGGGCCCTGGAGAACTCTCGGCAAACTAAAGACTCCAGTGACACCCAGGACAACACAGAGGTTTTACCTAATCGCCAGGAAAGACTACATCATCATTATTAAGATCTTGCATTGGTGTGGTACACCTATTAGAATGTGAACCAATAGCAATACATGATTAGTAACTAAAGTCTACAGTGTACATTAGGGTTCATTCTTGGTTTTGTATATTCTCTGGGTTTTGACAAATACATCATGAGTAACATATATTCATTACAGTGTCATTTACTTAACCACATAACAAATTCAGACTTAGCAAAGGGGCGGGAAAAGAGAAAGACAGTGAAGGGAGGAATGCTCCAAACACTCACGGATAGGTACAAAAATTTAAATAGACTAGATAAAATTTGTCTTCAGAGACCCCTACACTTCCTACCCTCAGTTTTTCTGTTAAACATTTATTACATCCCTACTATGTGCCAAGAATTCCACTAAACACTAGAGAAATAAAGATGAAGAGACTGCTCAGAAAAAAACTCATAAGCTGTGAAGAAGGTCATCTACAACCAGTTCAAGACAACGATTTTCTTAACTGTCAGGCCCAATCAAATGTCTATTAATGCACTTTAAATTAATAGCACCTTTTAAGAAACCACAATATGACATTAAGTCAACCGTAAGATGCGCTCTGTAATTACAAACATTTAAGTGTGAAAAAAAAGAACATCACATAATTGATAAAATGTGATATAACACAGTGGTTAAAAGTATGCTCCTGTCCCCAGATTCTCTATTTACTTCACCTTGGGTGAGTTACAACCTCTGAGTCTCAGTACCCTTCTTGTTAAAATGGGGACATTAATACCAGTACCAACCCTCAAGGTGTTACTGCCAGAATTAAAGAAAGAACTCACACAAAGCACTTAGAACAGAGCCTGGCACACAGCAAACTCTCAACAAATGTCTACTACTCTTACTTTTTATGGCAAAGGCTAAAATAAAAGTAAACAAAGAACATCGATCTGGGCTAGTCAGAGAGGGAATGTTCTCTGGAGGGAAGATTCTTGAGATGAGTCTTAAAGGCTAAGAAGAAGTCAGCAGAGTGAAGAGGTATGGTGGACGGAAACGGGGGAAAAGGGGAAGGGGACCAGCACAGCTTCCAGGCAGGAGGAATAGAAGAAGAAAGCCCAGGAAAAAAGAAAAAATTCCAGGCAAAAAACGGTATATATACTCAGATACTCTTCCATGTCACTCAAAGTACACGATTTAAAACATTTTGATATGAAAAATAAAACGTAAATAGGGAGATATTTTTAAATAGATTGTAAAAGTCATGTTAATTTAATTATTCAGAGACAGGGTCCTGCTATGTTGGCCAAGCTGAAATACAGTGGTTATTCACAGGAGCTATAGCCTCCAACACCTGGCCTTAAGAGATCCTCTCCTGCTTCCACCTCCCAAGTAGCTGGGACTACAGGCACACACCACCATGCCAAATGCCATATTCACTTTATAGATAAAAACCTGAGCTTTAGAATTCCCACCTTATTCCCTGACTGACTGCTTCTGGTTGCCTCATAAATAGGAGTGGCACTGCCCTAAAATCTGCAAAGCACTGCAAACTATAAAGGGCACACCTACGGACAAACAGGCAACCATATGAGAACTTTTCCAGTCCCCCAGATTGACCCATTTAGGCAGCAATCTTCTGAATCCTTTTGGGAAAAGTCGGAAAGTACTTAAAGGAAACTCAATATAGAAGTGGTGCAGTAAAAATATGTGGAAGCAATCCCCTCCCAGGTCATATTCCACAGCCATGAGAAAAGGTTCCCCCATAAAGAAAAGAAGCTACAGAAAGATGGATCACTCACCAGAGTGGTTCTGCATGAGACAAGCTGATGATAAATGCCTCTCCTGTCTGTCCAGAAAGAGTCCGTCCACTTTTATCAACAATCGTCCCTGAAATCTGAATTGACAAAGTAAACAAAGTCAACAATACAGACTCAAGAATATAGCTATAAAGACAAAATCAAATGAACAAGCTGACTTCCTTTGCTCCTTTACAAGGAAAAGAAATGTGGAACTCAAATTCAAAGGGAGCACTTTCTATAACAGTCAGAACAGACATATGCCAAGAGATCAGGGGAAGAGGCAGGAAGCCACAGAGACAGAGACAAGGCAAAGTCACTGAGGCAAAAGCAATGACTGAAACAACTTTGGAATTCACACATCCAGTCTTATTAGAGGCAGTTTTCCCAGAGATAACATCAAGTTATCCTGACCTCCTGCTGTTAAACATGGGACTTATCTAACACCCTTGTCTGGATTCAATTCGCTTCTCACCAAGCAATTTTAGGACTCAGCAGAGAGGTCTGCCTACTGAGTTAATAAAGTGGCAGTCTGGTGTCTTCGGTGTTGGCTATGTGGCCATCAGCATGCAAGGCCACCCTCCTTGGGCCTTAATGAGACTGAGCCTTGAAGCCTTTGGCTTCAAGGACCAATACAGTGGGCTTCTTTTGAACAGCTTGCCTTTCATCAGCTACTTCTAGATTCATTTTCCTTACCTCTCCAGATATAAGACTGTTATTAGTCTAGAAGTGGTGGGAGGGAAGTGAACAATGGAAGTTAAAGTAGGTGAGTTCTAAAAGATACTATTAATAGTTCTACTATGCAAGGTGGGGAAAAACATGCTCAAAAGGACAATTAATAGAAGACAGAATGTATTGTGCAAACACTTTAGAACTTACAAAGATAGGCCGGGGAGCATATTTCTCCTCAAAAAGGTTTTGGAGTGCAAACACAGCTGCCTGTCAGGGAAAAAAGAAAGAACGTCTTTATTTCTGAGACTGTTTCCAAGATTAGTCTAACTTCCTGATTAGAATGCACCCTTTTCTAAGACCTCTTCAGATAAGATATACATCAAGCTCTCTGGGAAGAAGTGTCTTCCTTATAAGGCACAACTCCAGCACCCCTTTCTCAAGTGTAATACTGTGCATATTAAAACAAAACAAAAGCTGACTGAGAGTTCACCTAGGAACTAGTATTTCCTCTGACGAAGAGCTAAAGGGTATTCTTTCTTCCTTTCCTCAGTAAAAATTAAAAATAAATAAATAACACTCGGGAGGCTGAGACAGGACGATTGCCTGAGTTCAGGAGTTCAAGGTTGCAGTTGAGCTGTGATCATGCCACTGCACTCCAGCCTGGATGACAGAACAAGACTCTGACTCAAAAATTAATAAATAAGAATGTCCCTGCTTTTCGCATCCTTTCATACACATGGTAGGTATATGAACCAACAGTATCCATCATTGCAAAAAACAGCATCAGCTTAGATTAGGTAGTAAAGGTGCAAATCCTATGTTATTCTGTGCTGTTCAGTCCACGTATTAAGTTCCAGGTAATGGATCTTCTATTTTTATCATTTTATTTCTTGATTTTAAGATATGTATGTTTTCACAATTAATTCTCTGAAATCAGAATGCAACCTGTAATTAACGTGTACCTTTCCTGTGATGGTAGGTTTTTTTCATGTAAAGTTACTAATTCAATAATATCAGAATTTCCTCTTCAGAAATAGACAAATTGATCCTAAAGATCTTATGGAAAACAAACATGTAAGAATAGCCATGAAAAGGGGTATCTGGAAAAGGGGATGGGACTCAATGAAAAAAAAAAAAAATCTAAGCCTACCAGTTACTCAGACATATTCTAATGTTATGGTAAATGGTACAACAGCGTCACATCAGCAGACAGATTACTAGAAAACACTAGATCCAAATGCACTCCAGAATTTTGGATGATAAGGATAATGTTCCACATCATTCCTATCACTGTGAAATAACAGGATGCTTAATAGATGGTGGTAGGAAAACTAAACTTTAAAGGAAAAAAGTTAGCTTCCGATTCTATTTCTCACTCCAAAATAAATACCAGATGCATCATGAGGGACATTAGTTCCATATAATCAGAATGTATGCCACACATTTGAAAACTTAGAAACTCAACAAAACATATCTTTAATGCTTTATCCCCTCATGTTAATCCCTCTTATTTCTAATCTAAACAATACCGTGACTCTTTGCAAATGTATATACGAATCTCATTTCAGATATATTCCTTATCTTGTTTGTTACTGCTCTCATTTTCAAAATGTATATCTGATTTCCTTTTCAAATTATAATTTGTTTACTGGAGATTCACAAAACAATTTCTAAAAAGATATATAAAAAAGAACCCAATGAAAAGTCATGTGTTAAGAACAAGGTAGGGTGGTCATCCAGCTTCAGGCCGGTAGTGGCTCTCTATGTTCTTCCTGCTTGCAAGTACTTTAGAAAATGATCTTTTTGAAAAGTTCAAAAACTCTGGACCTGTGGTCTGATTCCCACAATTAAACATTTAATGAAACTGTAAAGTACTAGGGAGGAAAAGGCCATTTTTCCATTTTTTTCTTCTCTTCAACTGAGGAGTGCCTCTGTAACTATAGTCTCCCCCTCCACAATAAAAAAATAGAATCTGTAAATTCAACCATACAACATTTAAGAAAAATTCTCCTACACCATTAAAACGCACACACAAACACACACCACCACCACACTACCACCATCACCACCATAAAGTCAAATGTCAAACAAACTGGAGGACAGTAGCTGCTGTTCATTATTGAGAAGAGCCTCATTTTCTCAGTAAAGGACTCAATTTTAAAAAGCCAAAGTCCAATAGAAAAAAAGGACAGAAGACGTAAGTCATAGAACATGAAATATAAATGGCTCCAAAACTGAAGAAAGATGATCAATTACATTAGTAGTAAGAAAAATACAAATTAAAACTACAGTGAGGCACCACCTGTCAAACTGGAAAAGGTCAAATAGTTTAATAATACACTGCACTAGTGAGGGTGTTGTGAAACCAGCACTATTGTACACTTCTTGCTGAACGGAGTATAATTGAGTCCAGTCTCAAACGAGGGTAATTTGACACTAAAGATAAAAATTAACAATGCACATACCCTTTGATTCAGCAATTTTACTTGTAGAAATGTATCCTACAGATACACTGTGTAAAAACATATGTATAAGGATATTTGCTTCTCTCTCCATAAACTTATGTGCCTTTGCATGTATGTAAGGAACACAAACACACACGTACACGCATGCTTATATCTGTACAGCATCTGTCAGGACCCCCAAACTGGCAATAGTAGCTGTCTCTGGAAAGGGAGCTGGATAACTAAAGACTAGGAAAGGAAAGGATATTCACTTTTCACTCTGTGTATTTTATGTATCTTTCAAATTTAGAACCAGCAGCATGTATTTATTACCTATATACGCATTTATACTAGCTATATATCAAAATATCTATTTTCATAATTAGAAAAAAGTTATTTTAAAAGCTTCAAAAGCAGGTTTAAGCTTTTCTTATTGTACTGGCCTCAGTTAAAAACACTCAAGAATAAAAAGGAGCAAATGCAGGTAATTTATTTAACTTTGATAATGGCTAATATTATCTTCTCTGAACATCAGGAGACTCTCCCACAGCCCTCAGCCCAGCCCTGTCTGCTTTTACTCCCTTAGCTCACCTTGGCATTGGCAGTATCAAAAATAGTTTCAATGAGTAAGATATCAACTCCGCCATCCAGAAGTCCTTTGGCCTGCTCTTGGTATGCTTCAACAAGCTCATCAAATGCTGCAAAAAATAAATCACACCCAGCACATCAGTCATCAATATCCTCTGAATGGCCCTAGGGTATCTCAAGTGTAGGTCTGGCACCTGGGAACTACTGCTGGTTTAGAATGCATAGTTAAGAACATGATCTTTTTCTTTTTTATTATTTTTATTTTTTTAATTTATACTTTAAGTTCTAGGGTACATGTGCACAACGTGCAGATCTGTTACATATGTATATATGTGCCATGTTGGTGTGCTGCACTCATTAACTCGTCATTTACATTAGGTATATCTCCTAATACCATCCCTTCCCCCTCCCCTACCCCACAACAGGCCCCAGTGTGTGATGTTCCCCTTCCTGTGTTCAAGTGTTCTCATTGTTCAATTCCCACCTATGAGTGAGAACACGCAGTGCTTTTTGTCCTTGCGATAGTTTGCTGAGAATGATGGTTTCCAGCTTCATCCATCCATATCCCTACAAAGGACATGAACTATTGCGGCTGCATAGTATTCCATGGTGTGTATGTGCCACATTTTCTTAATCTAGTCTATCATTGTTGGACATTTGGGTTGGTTCCAAGTCTTCGCTATTGTGAACAGTGCCACAATAAACATATGTGTGCATGTGTCTTTATAGCAGCATGATTTATAATCCTTCGGGTATATCCCAAATATAATGGGATGGCTGGGTCAAATGGTATTTCTAGTTCTAGATCCTTGGGGAATCACCACACTGTCTTCCACAATGGTTGAACTAGTTTACAGTCCTACCAACAGTGTAAAAGTGTTCCTATTTCTCCACATCCTCTCCAGCACCTGTTGTTTCCTGACTTTTTAATGATCGCCATTCTAACTGGTGTGAGATGGTATCTCATTATGGTTTTGATTTGCATTTCTCTGATGGCCAGTGATGATGAGCATTTTTCATGTGTCTGTTGGCTGTATGAATGTCTTCTTTTGAGAAGTGTCTGTTCAATCCTTCGCCCACTTGTTGATGGGGTTGTTTCCTTCTTATAAATTTTAATTCTTTGTAGATTCCAGATAATAGCCCTTTGTCAGATGAGTAGATTGCAAAAATTTTCTCCCATTCTGTAGGTTGCCTGTTCACTCTGATGGTAGTTTCTTTTGTTGTGCAGAAGCTCTTTAGTTTAATTAGATCCCATTTGTCAATTTTGGTTTTTGTTGTCATTGCTTTTGGTGTTTTAGACATGAAGTCTTTGCCCATGCCTATGTCCTGAAGGGTATTGCCTAGGTTTTCTTCTAGGGTTTTTATGGTTTTAGGTCTAAATTTAAGTCTTTAATCCATCTTGAATTAATTTTTGTATAAGGTGTAAGGAAGGGATCCAGTTTCAGCTTTCTACATATGGCTAGCCAGTTTTCCCAGCACCATTTGTTAAATAGGGAATCCTTTCCCCATTTCTTATTTTTGTCAGGTTTGTCAAAGATCAGATAGTTGTAGATGTGTGGTATTATTTCTGAGGGCTCTGTTCTGTTCCATTGGTCTATATCTCTGTTTTGGTACCAGTACCATAAGAACATGATCTTTTGTAAGAAACCAAATAAAGAAAGGTGGCAGGGACAGAAGGTAAATAAGTAAGCTGAAGGCAGCTGTTCCTAAACATCTGCCACATAACTTCCACTTCCCATGTACAAGCTGAGGAGTGAGAAGGAAGGTGTACGAATGTCTTGAACATGTACCCCTTATTCAACATCTCTGAAATACATTATTCTTTCCACAGCTCATTTCAATCAACCGGTTAAGAGATGGCTGTGAGAAACATGCCACAGTGATGTGGACAGGTCGCAGGTTGAGTTGAAGTCACTCTGTGATAAAGGGCTGCAAGCCTGCAGATTTTGTCTCTGCTCTTACACCAACTCTGTCAGAGAATAAACCTATCTGGTGGGCAATTTCAGTCTCAAACAAAAAGTGTTCAATCACTCCTAGGTAAAATTTTTGTTAGAAATGTCTTGGACTTGCCCAGTGCAGTGGCTCACGCCAGCACTGTGGGGGCCTGAGGCAAGCAGATCACTTGAGGTCAGGAGTTCAAGACCAGCCTGGCCAACATGGTAAAACCCCAACTCTACTTTAAAAATATAAAAATTAGCCAGGCATGATGGCACACGCCTGTAGCCCTAGCTACTGGGAAGAGTGAGGCAGGATAATCGCTCGAACCCAAGAGGTGGAGGCTGCAGCAAGTCAAGATCGTGCCCCTGCATGCCATCCTAGGCAACAAAGTGAGATGCTGTCTCAATTAAAAAAAAAAAAAAAAAAAAAGAAATGTATTTGATTATCTATTTCCACATGAGAGATCATCTCTCTCCCCATTTTATCTCCCAACCAAAAAAGAAAAAATGCTCAGATATCCAATAGAGAAGCCTATACAATAAAGTCCTCCTGTAGCATCACTGACAGGTTCTCAGAAATTGCAGCTTTGACTAATATGTAACAAAACCAGTATTTTCTTTCTAATCAACATTATAATGAAATTCTGTTGAAGGAAATGACATTAATTGAGGGCCTACTATGCATCATTTTGCTTAAAGATGCAGTTTTCAAGAATCTGAATGACGTTAAGTGAAGACTTACTGTACTTCCCCTTGTACAGCCCAAGAGCAAGGAGAAGTTAGCTCCCCACTGGCATGTCTAGACCAAAGAGAGCATCAACAACACATAAGCCTGGTATGAGCAGCTCCTGGTGAAAAAGTGTGGTATCACAACACACAAAGTTCCATAAACCAAAAACCTACAAACTATACTTGCTTGATCTTGTCATCTCCACAGACTGCACTACCAGACATGGTATCATGACTATTCAGCTCTGATATTTTAATGCATTTTGTTTTCTACAGTCTTGATGCTTAGAAATTGACCTAGATATTTGGATGTTTTGTCAGATCTCAATATAAGTATGTTTATATATGGTAGTTTATAACATGTATAATGCCAACATGTTGATATGGCTTGGCTGTGTCCCCACTAAAATCTCATCTTGAATTCCCACGTGTTGTGAGAGGACCTGGTGGGAGGTAATTGAATCATGGGGGCAGGTCTTTTCCGTGCTGTTCTTGTCATAGTGAATAAGTCTCACAAGATCTGATGGTTCTATAAGGGGAAGTTTCCCTGCACAAGCTTTCTCTTTGCCTGCTGCAATCCATGTAAGATGTGACTTGCTCCTCCTTGCCTTCTGCCATGATTATGAGGCTTCCCCAGCCACATGGAACTGTAAGTCCATTAAATCTCTCTTTCTTCTGTAAATTGTATGTCTTTATCAGCAGTGCGAAAATGGACTAATACAGATGTCTAGATAGTACAGACTGCCTTCTGATAAATGAGGATATCGTGGGCTATTCTATAATAGATCACAAACCTAGTATCCAAATTTGCTCAACTTCTGAGTTTACAGTTTTATTTTAGTTGGTTTCATTTCCACAGCTGACAAAGCAGCATTAACATAACACCATATACATTTGAAAGCAAGTTCAAATAATAATCATCATCATAGCTAACTTTCTATTTAGATGTCTACTATACTCCAGGCACTGTTGTACACCTTTTACATGGATTAAATCACAGTAACTCTAAGGTAAACCCTGTTATTGGTTCCATTTTACAGATTTACAGCTTACTGAAGCACAGAGGTACTTGCCCAAGATCAACGATTATATACAGTAAATACTCACTGATGTTCCTATAATCTGGTCTTTCCACAGACGGGGACACAGAGAGTGTCTTATTAGTCGGACCCAGAGCCCCTGCCACAAACCTCTTAATTCCTTTGGGAAAAGAAAAACAAGTGTGAAATCTCTAAGTGGCTGAACATTTTTTGCTGTGAATGAATAGCCAATAAGATTTTTTTCTAGAACACAGATCTATAATCTTTTGTACACAACTCTGAAATCCAAAAAGCTCTAAAAGCCCAAACTTTTTTTTCAATTTGACAATAAAACTTGACCTCTCCTAAACTAGCAAGAGGCTATTTATAGTCTTTATCCAACTTAGATGATTCATAGATTCTGCTTATATATATTTGACCATGGGGCTGCCCCAGAGTCCACTAAGGAAATTATGCCATATAGGAGATATGCACGTATCATCACAAAACCAGTCCCCAAAACACTGAATTCTCACACAACTGACTAAAACATTTCAGTAAGTAATCCTTTTCTATCACCAGAGCTGTGTTTGGACAAATTCCCTCTCCTCCTATTTTTACAAAGCCCTAAAGGTTTTGAACTTAAGTTCTGCAAAATCACCTCACAGTAGCATTTAACTTGAAATGCTTTCTAGTACCATATTGCAGGCCCTTCACTAGAAGGAAATACTAAATCAGGATTAACAATTACAAAGCCTGAAATTGAAGTATGAAGCAAAGCAAATCTTTCTTCAATAACTTTTCCTCTGCCCTAGAGTCCAGGTGCTTCTAAAAATGACGTGGGAAGTTGTGTTCATTACACAGAAGCCAGGGTCATACCGCTCACTACCTTTGATGACTTTAGCCACTCAATAACCTGGTTACTATGCTTTGTAATTTAACTGGAGAAGACTATCAGCTAATTGATAAACCAGTTTTTGAACAAGTTACAGGCCCAAATATTCTTTCGCATCCCCAAAGCTAACCAATAACGTGGGTATAAGAAAAATGTCCTTATCTCTCCTTGCTTTAGCTGGTTCACTGTCCTCTGACCTGTGACTCTGCTGGAGTAATAGTCTATGCTTTTCCATGAATTTAAACATTATCTCTTAGAAACAGAGTTCATGTAAACTGCTTTGGTCTTCATTAGAATGCTGTGTATAACTTCACAGCAATTTTGCTTTCCCGTTGGCAATAACTTCACGTTTCCAAATCTTAAGGGGCTCCATAAATTTCTTATATTCCTTTCCCTCCCTCAAAGCCTCCTACCAGCTGGTGCCCAAGTGTTCTGATGGCATCCAGCCAGGAGGCTAGTTATTTCAGGAGCCACTTTTCAAGTAGCAGCAAGACTGAATCTAATGCCACACTTTTTTGTGTGCTTCACAGAGCCTTCAAGACATCAATAGTATAAAGGGAAAATGCTTGAAAGGCAATATCTCTACCTATATCAGCTAATCACAGGGACGAGGGTGGCTTTAAAAAAATGAGATCAAATATCCTAATAGCAGCCAAGATCATCAAAACAGCCAGCTGTTACTTTTAATGACCTGATGATGTGCTTCCAAAGAGACATAAATTATTTCATCTCTAAATACACAAGGAAGTCAGGGGCCTCGCTACCAAGCCAGGCTAAACCAGGCTGAAAGAGCAACCTGAGGACCACAGGGTTGGCATCAATTCAAAGATGTTGAGTGCTTGATCATGAAACTGCAGAGAAGTAATCTACAAATATGTAAAATACAGTGTCTGCAGTGTTGCTCATAAGCCAAAGGCCACATAAGGAAAAACTGCAATAAGGACAGCCAAGTTATAGCTGACTATATCAAAGGAACCACGTGTGCAAAAAAAGAGAAGAACATTCCTTACCTGTCTGGAGAGTTATCTCCTCGGCAGCTTTTCTGGCCACTCCTGCAGAGCACTTGTTCATCCGGTAGGCCTAATGTATCAACCACAAACATTAGCTTGTTCTTCTTTTCCTCCACACAATAAATAATGGATTCATGACCATCCAATACCCAATGTTCTTCAGTAACAAAATGTAGAGTGAATTAATCTGAGGTCTGAGTGAAATCTTAGCCAAGCAGGCATATCAGCTCCAGACTTGAAAGGCAGCAAGCAAAGATAAGAATCCTTGAGAACTGCTTTTAGGTTCTCCTCCCAAACCATGAGCTAGCTGGTAAAAGGGCAATCCCTAGACATCTAGCATGTTAGAGAATAACCTATGTAGTTAAATATTCTGAGAATTAAGAAAAAAATAAAGCAATGGAAACAGCATAGGCTTAAGAGGCAAAACACACAGGTGCAAGGACTAGTCTGTCACTGCCTGACCAGGCAGTTCCCACTGCAACTTTTCCGGGCCTGATTCGTGTACAATAGTTGGAATCAGTAATTCTGAATTTTTTGCATATTATTAACCACCTGAGAATTTGATAAAGGGCTATGAACCCTCTCACCAGGAAATAAAAAGCAAATATGCACACACACACACAGTGTTGCCTATGATTTAAGAAGGTTCACGGCCCTCCAGAAGCTCTTCCACAGACCAAGTCGGGAGAACCTAGACTCGTGATTTTCAAGTTCCTTTGAATTCCTAAGATCCTATGTGTCTTGAATAACCACATCCAGGAATTTAATAACCAGAATATCCTAAACAGGTGTTGGCAAACTGCGGCTCATAGGGCAAATAGGGTCCACTGCCTGTTTTTGTAAATAGTTTTACTGGGATAAAGTAAGTCCATTCATTTATATAATGTCTATAGCTGCTTCCACACTACATGATGGAGTTGAGTAGTTGCAAAAGACTTTGCTAACAAAGCCAAAATATGTACTATACTATCTGACCCAGGCTCAAAAAAAAAGGGTACAGCCACTCGGAAAGCAGTATGGCAGTTCCTCAAAAAATTAAACATAGAATTACCGTATTATCTAACAATTCGACTTCTGTGTATATATACAAAAAAACTGAATGTGGGAACTTGAATAGATGTTTGTATACACATGTACATAGCAACACTGCATATTCACAATAGCCGAAAGGTAGAAGCAACCCAAATTATCAACAGATGAATAAGCAACACACACAATGATACATTATTCAACCTTAAAGAGGAAGGAAATTCTGACACATGACAACATGGATGAACCTTGAGGACATTACATTAAGTGAAATAAACTAGTCACAAAAGGCCAAATACTATATGATTCAACATAAGGTACCTAGAATAGTCAAATTCATAGAGACAGAAAGTAGAACAGAGTATGCCGGGGCTGGAGTTGGGGGCAGAATGGGAAAGTACTGTTTAATGGGTACAGAGTTTCAGTTTCGGAAAATGAGAAAGTTCTGGAAATGGACAGTGGTGATGATAGCAGAACACTGTGAACGTACTTAATACCACTGAAGTGTATACTTAAATATGATAAATTTTATGTTATGTGTATTTAATCACAATTTTTAAAAAAGAAACCAAGGCTGCCATCTAATACTCAAAAAGGCGTCACAATACTGTGTGCATACGGCCAATGATTATGCCTTTATCAACAGCTACTGCATAATAAGTATCATTTATACTTGATTATTACTTGCCCATAAAAGCAGCCAGTTGGAAAATGAATGGGCCACCATGTTCACAAGCAGGAAGGATTCACACCATTTTCCCCATCTCATCATAAACAACAGATAAGTAGGCATTAGCTTGACTCTGCAGCTTCTAGTGCTTTACTCACTAGCAACTACCAATGCAGCAAACGCTTGTAAGTATCTTAGACACATGGAACAATGGAATTCTTACCAAGTGTTCAAGGCCATAGTCAGCTTGGGCAATGCTAGTGCTGCTGAAAGTATTTGTTTCAATGATATCTGCCCCAGCCAGCAAGTATTCCTGCAACAAGAGATTATAATGTCAATTATGAGCTTTAGAGCTTTTTGTCCCGCCGGAATAGACATGCCCTTTCATTACCACTATTATCACCATCTATCTTTTGACCACTTACTAAGAGTAAGGCACTGCATTAGAAGGTAGAGATGCAAAAAAGGTGTAAGGATTTCACAGAAAGGCATGTGGTATGAATAAATAAACACAGAACTTGACTTCAGACAATGTTAACATCCTAAGGTTATAAGAATTTAATCAAGTCCCTTAAACTCTCTGAGTCTCAGTCTCCTCATTCAAAAATATTATAACCCTACTTCACAGGGTAGCTATCTGCTAATATAAAGTAACACATCAGCCAGGCACGGTGGCTTATATAATCATAGCACTTTGGGAGGCCAAGGTGAGAGGACTGCTTGAGGCCAGTTCAAGATCAGTCTGTGCAACATAGAAAGACCCTGTCTCTAACCAAAACAATACAAAAAATTAGCCAGGCATGGTGGCACATGCCCATAGTCCCAGCTACTTGGAAGGCTAAGGCAGGAGGACTGCTTGGGCCCAGAGGTTCAAGTGAGGCACAGTGGGCTAGAGTGAGCCACAGTGGCACCACGGTACTCCAGCCTGGGTGACAGAGTGAGACCCTGTCTCAAAAAAACAACATCAAGTGTCTGGCACATAATGGGCACTCAACAAACGGTAGTTCTGTTCCCTTATCTTCTTCCTGCTTTGGCAGAACATGATGCCTATGGAGAAGTATACCATCTCAGAGATCTCAACATCTGATCACAATTTTTTCAGTCTACATCTCCTAGTCCCTCTGAACCAGCATCACATCCTTACTGAAACCCTGAAGATCTTGATGCTGCTTTGTGCTCTCTCTTCGAAACTCGTGTTCCTGGCTCCATTCTTTGGATCATCTCAACCTCAATCTGACTAGCACCCTGGAATCACTTGACCCCCCTTGATTTTCCAACACTGAATAAACCCAACCCCTCTTAAGTCGATGGACAATGCTTGCAGAAGCACTGGGAGAAAAAAACCAAGACATGCATATTTATAGTAACAATAACAAACATCCTAAATATCAACCAATAGGGAAATAGCTAAATAAACTAAAATATATCCACTGTATTACATGCCATGTGACAGCTAAAAAAAAATGGATATCTACAAATACTGACATGGAAAGATTCTGCAAAGTATCGTTAAATTAAAAAAAAAAATAGAATGATATGTAAAGCACGACACCATTAAATTAAAACACACACACACACAGAGTACTATGAGTTTTCTACATATATATTCACTCACGTATACACACATATACATACATGAAAATGCATAACAAAAGAATCTGGGACGACACACACCAACTAACATCAGAGTTATCTCTAGGGAAAAATTAGCAATTTAGAGTATGGTCAAATGGGAATATATTATCTACGAGATTTGTTTCATAAGAACTAATTTTAGTTTTTTTAAAAGAACAAGAAAAATTGAAAATAAACTTAATGCCTAGGAATAAGAAGATTAGTTAAATAAATGATATATACAAAGAATAGATTATGAAGTTATTAAAATCATGTTTCAGAATATTTAACACTCATGGTATATAAGTAATAAACGCAAATTATAAGACAGTACAAAGCAATGTAATCCCAATTTAATTTTTTAAAATCCAAATATAGAAAACTAGACTAAAATATGAAACACGAGTGATAGCTGTATCTTAGAATTTTATAATGGGTGAGCGCCAGCTTTCCAGTTCATAGACAGCATCTTCTCACTGCATCTTCACATGGTGGAAGGGGCGAATAAGCGCCCTTGAGCCTCTTTATAAGGGCACCTCCTAATACCATCACACTGGGCATTAGGATTTCACATACGAATCTCACAGAGACACAAACATTGAGACCACAGCAGTGCCCTTGTAAGGAGAAATATGAGGTTTTTTGTCCTCTCTCTGCTCTCCGTCAAGTAAAGATACAAAAAGATAGCCATCTATAAACAAGAGGGCCCTCACCAGACGCAGGATCTGCTGGCACTTTGTGGACTTCCAGCTTCCAGAACTGTGAGAAATAAATGTGTGCTTGTATAACCCAGTCTATGGTAACAGGTAATATAGCAGCCAAAGCTAAGACACCACCTTTAAGCATTTCTTCATCAGGGCTGTTGCAGTGACTTGAATAAGATAGTTTTCTCACATTCACTAGTGTGAAAACCCTTATTTGTCCAGAATCTCATAGTTTTTCACTAGAGTTTACATGCCTCAAGGGCAGAAAACCTACCTATCTCATCCCCTTATCCTGAGTGCCCAACACAGTACATAACTTTTATTTGATGTCCAAAACTTGCTTTCTGAATAAACTGCCTCTTCTTTATTCTCCAGAGCACTCGGCATAGCAATCTGCCCTGATACATGAAATAGCTTGCAGAATAACAGAATGAATACATTTGGGAACCTGGGAATACTTTACCTTATGGATTTGGTAAATGACATCGGGCTGAGTTATACTTAAAATGTCATTGTTGCCTTTCAGCGGCCTGGCATGATCTTTAAATTCCTGACCTCGGAAGTGTTCTTCGTTTAGCTTCTGCCGCTGGATCATGGTTCCCATCCCTCCATCCAGCACCATAATCCTCTTCCGCAGAATGGCATCGATCTCATCCCGCGGGGTTTTCTTCAGACCTGCTTTAAACAAAGTGGAAGTTTTACTTTAAAGAATGAAAGGTAAAAAAGATGTGTGAGGGAGGAGCTTGAGAGAAATTTATAATAATCTGCAATAAGGAGTAAATGGAGCTCATAAAAGATGCACTCATAACTCTATATAGGAAAATGCTGCCCAAAAAGGCCGTTAAATCGTAACAAAGCCTAATACAAGATTGCACACAGCACAAAATCCCTGGTAAAGCACAAAACCAAGGTGAAGGTAGGCTGCAACTTCTCCTGCTTTACAGATGAGGAAAACAGGCAATAATGGGCCAGTGATACAAGACTTCGCTCTCCCTAAATAAAATGATTTAGTAGAGAAAATTGAAAACCATCAGTAATTCCAAACTACTCTTTAAAATATTAGCTTTGACCTTCTCCCTCACCTATTGCCAGAACTAATAATGGCCTGCAAACAGAGTTTTACTCATCTCTGCCCAATTATGAAATAATAACCGGCTAACACCCTTGAACTTCTCAACTCTCCCCACGCTCCTTGACTTCTAATTCCCAGTCCAGAAAAGGGCCCAATGCTTACTCCTTCTAATCCTGCTTTCTGGTTTCTATGACCTACTGGAAAGCCACAAAACTATGCTGACTGGAGTCACTGAAAATTTGTAATGTTCAGCCTCTTCTTTGGTTCACCTTTTCTTGACCTCCCTCAATACTTCTAACACCTGCTGTCCCAATTTCTGCTTTTTATAGCACCAAATCCTTTTCCTCCTCACTCCACAAGTGATTTCACCTAATCCTATACAAAGAAGTCTTCTGTTGGAGGCTCCTCAAATTCACACCCTCTCCACCTCAAAATCCTCTTGCAGTCTGGCTCCTCTATTTCCCTTCTTTCTGCACCCAAGGAAGAGCGCATGATCACCAACACCTCCCACTGCTCCCCCATCTAGCCCTTCCCACTCCCACAGTTCCACCTCAGCAACCACCGATTTCTTATCTTTCTGAGGTGGCTTCCTCTTCCACCACTCTCCTGAAATTACTTTCTAAAGACGCCAATGACCTTCTAAATACCAAAAACACCTGGCCCCAATCTTAGACCCAGCTTGTAAACCACTGGATATCGCTACCTCAACTACCCACCTGCCCCTCAATCTAATATTCAAAACCAAACTTGCATATATTCTCTGTCTCACCTCCTGATTTCTGTAAATGGCAACACCCTTCCCAGAAAACTAACCATAAAATCTCAATATTATCTGACTCCTTATTCCCCCTAATAACCAACATCTACTTAGATCCCAAGCCTTATAGATTTGGCCTCTAAAATGCCATGCACAATGGTCCCACCTTCTCGCCCTATGACAACCCCTTTCTTCAAGCCCTTACTACACAGGCCAGCTATTACCAATCCTCTCTGAGCTCTAGTTTGCATCCATGCAAATGAGATCATACATCTATGGAAGTGCCTTGTAAACTATCAAGTGTTCTACAAAGGTAAGAGATCACCACCATACCCAGTCGCCCTGTGTTCCAATCCATCCTATGAACCACTACCAGATAAATCTTCCTATAGAACAATTTTTTAAACCAGTTGCTTCCTCTGCTCAAACACCTTCAACAACTCCCTATAGCATATCAGAGTGAATACATGTTACTCAAAACAAACCTTAATGACACCAACCCATTCCTTCTGTGCTCCCTAAGAGGCAAGAAAAGCTGAAGTCAAACGGAGCTGGTTCTAAGCTATTTGAGCTCCTTGGAGCTCATGCCTAGCAACACCAAGGTCAGTACTTGGCAAATATTTCTTTAATTGAAATGACAAAAAAGTGAGGGTAGATGAGAAACAACAGGCAAAGATAATTTAAAACCCAAACCAGTAACTTAAGAATATTTGTAAGCTGGTATTGGGTGCAAACTTACAACCCTGCCTTGTCTTACTGTCCAGGGTCTCAAGTATATAACACAGGAACTGGGGCTAAATGGTGGTCACAGAACTTTTTTGAGTGACTTTCTCCAAGTGGGCTTCAGGAAGATGGCTCTAGTAACCTGAAAGAAAAATTTGCAATATCCAATATCTCATTTCTTTTCCAAAGCACTGTTTCTTTCAGGATGTACTATTCCTTTCCAAAGCCACCTCACTGGCTAATTGTGTTTATTGAACTCGCAGGTGAGAGAAAACACTTCCTGATAAAGGAACGAAGTTAAGTTTTAATGATCTGACCAAAAGTACTTCAAGAACCAAAGAAAACCACTTCTCGGGAAATGCGGAGAAAAGGTAGGGCTTAATGAAGCATGTATAACAGAAAGACTGGTAGGCATCAGGCAGTGGGCATCATTTCAACCTATAGTAGACATGGTAAATTCACATGCTGCGTTAATTTAGGCACTCCATGATGTGACTACCCTACCAGCCAATAAGCACTCAGAATTTGATAGGCTTAAGCTAATAGTGGCAGGGTGCGAAAATCCAAGAAATCTGGGTTTTAGCCCCAGTTCCCCTTAGTAGCTATGGGATTTTAGACAAGTCCTCTCCGTGCTTCAGCAAGATGAGGGAACATCGGCCCTGCCCTCATCATTGGAATTGTGATACCAAAATGAGACCATATGTTAAGAACTGGACCTCTTAAGTCACACAAGTCATGAAATGAGACATTGGTGTTTGATGTATAGTAAACATCTGATAAATATTAGCTACTCTTATTATGTTGGTATTATTGCAGAGCTGGGACTGAAGCTCTAACGATTGTGTTCTATATATTACAAAGTTCAGTGGGCTGTGAAAAATCATGTAAAGCCTGAAGCTCTCAGTTGTTCACGTTGGGGCGGGAATAGCATACTTGCAGGTTTGGTAATGTCTTCTTCAGTCAGGTGAAAGAAGAAAATACCCAGTGAAAGCTGTTAAATGTAGATAATTTCACATGAGGAATGAGAAGACAAAGAACTAAAGACTGTAACCTACATGCCCAAATGAATCGCTTTCTTCTCAAAAGGATGTAGCTGCAATTCTCCCTGAAATGACATCACGTGAACTTAAGTGGGTGACTGAATCATAAGGCTGGTGTGAGCATGGGGTGTGGCAGTGGCGAAATAGGTCATACACGTGACATTTCGTATTTAAAAGGTATTCAAACTTTCTAGGGAAAAAAAGGCAATCTTTTCCACAGACAGTAAAGTATATTCTTTGACATCAGCAAAATGATTAATCAATATCAATCAATATCCTATTATTTACACGCCCTTCTTCCCATCTTCTCCACTGAGCGAGTGCACACATGTTTAGCAAATCTAACCACTCAGAGAGCCTCCACCCCTCCTCTCATTTTCACAAAAAGTCTTAGTACTTTTCCATGGGGCCCTTACTGTATACCCTTTTCAATCCAGAAATAATAAGCTTTGTTTTTGGACTTTAAGACACTTCACTATTTACCATAAAACAACCCAGCCCCACACATGCAATTTCTGGTATCTTGTTTGCTGAGCCACCATATAGGCAAGAGATCAAAAGTTTTTAAAAACATCTGCTTTGGTTTTTTAGAAACCTGACAAACTTACTGTATAATTTATGTGGAAAAACTTTATGACTTCAAATGAAGAGGAACTTCTTAAGATGCAAAAAGACCAACCTCTTAATTTTTAAAAAAAACGATCAATTTGATTACATAAAAACCAAGGATTTCTCTTAAATGAAAGTCACCATAGACAAAAATAATAGACGATAGGTTGGGGGAAGATTCTTCAATGTCTAAAGCTAATTTGTTTTCTCATTGATTTGTGTTAGTTCCTTGTACATTCCAGAATGTAATGTACAATGTGAATTTAAAAATACCTATAGAGTTTACAACAAAATGTATAAATATATGAATATATGTGGAAAAGGCAGTCTATGGAAACAAGAGAATTGTGAATGGAAAATACAGACAAAAAGGAATATATAACAAAACACATATGAGCAGGAATTTTGCGGACTGAATAAAAAACTCCTATGCAACTGAGGCCCTTAAAAATCCATTACTCAGGCTGGGTGTGGCAGTTCATGCCTGTAATCCCAACACTTTGCCAGACCGAAGTAGGTAGATCACTGAGTCCAGGAGTTCGAAAACAGCCTGGGCAACACAGTGACCTCGTCTCTACAAAAAAACAAAAATTAGCCAAGCATGGTGGTGTGCACCTGTAGTCCCAGCTCCTAGGAAGGCTGAGGCAAGAGAACTGTTTGAGCCTAGGAAGTCCAGGCTGCAGTGAACCGTGATCATGCCACTGCACTCAGCTTGGGCAACAGAGTGAGACTGTCTCAAGAAAAAGAAAAAAAGAAAAACCATTGCTTCCTCATTATCTAACTTGCTTATTTTTCCTTTAGAGGATAATGTAAGATTTCCCATTTAGAGAAACTAAGAAGTCTTCCTTCAGAAGATCTGTTGGTATGAAGTGTCCACTATCTTAGCCTTCTGTATTCCTTCAGCTTTTCCAGTAGGAGGTCATTTTTCACTGGCTTTAATTACCATTCTAATTCACCGGTTTCTAATTACTATCAGAACTTGCTCAAAAGAATAAGCCACCTTGACAATTCTTTCCCTTGGCAGAGTGGGGATCTATTGAAATGTCACTCTTCTATGAAAAACAACAACAATATTGTATTTATCTGTATTCAGTTCATTAGGTCTAGAACGTTCTGTATATTTAACTACTGACTAGTCAAGTTCTAAATAGTCGGTTCTTTCTGATTGTCTTTCACAGTAAATATAAGAATATAGTTTTGCAGTTAGTTCCTTCATTTAGCTGACTAGTTATAACACTATTTCAGAAATATTTTTATGTTTAATGTATATAAGTATATGTAAATAACTGCAGTGCAGAGGAGAGTCCCAAGGAACATTCTTGGCTTGTAAGCCTAAGAGATTACACGGTATTTTCTCCAGTTTTGAGTGGATTAAGGGAATATACTTTGTGGGGTTTTTTCCCCTGCCATTAACATCTTATTTTCTAGCTAACAATATTCTGATTCACAGCAAGTGTTCCAAAAAATAAACATGGGAATAAGTGGTTAAAGCCCTAGTCAGATTTGGAGGCGGGGTAAGTCCGCTAGCACCACCTTTAAGAACTAGCCTAAAGAATGACAAGATGAAGGCCTAAACAAATAAATTTCTAATATGTGCATGTAAGTTACAAATTGCGGTGTCAAGAACTCATCTCCCTTGAAGGTAAAATGACCCCAAGTAGGTCTGACTTACTTAGGACTCCTCTTTCCACTGTGCTAAATGGGGAACACATACAGCAAAAGCACATTTTCATTTTCTGCATTATCATCAAATGATCCCAATGCTTTCTCACCAGTGTCCCTTCTTTGCTTTATTAAAAAGTCTTACTACTGACCTACAAGTCACTTGCAAGATACTTTTCTCTTTCATTTTCGGATCTCTAATTTCTAGTTTGCACACACTTGCTACACTTTGTTTTTTGGGTTTTTTTGTTTGTTTGTTTGTTTTGGAGACTAAGTCTCACTTTGTCACCCAGGCTGGAGTCTCCGCTCGCTGCAACCTCCGCCTCCAGGGTTCAAGCAATTCTCCTGCTCAGCCACCTGAGCAGCTGGGGTTACAGATGCTCACCATAAACTCAGCCAATTTTTGTATTTTTAGTACAGATGAGGTTTCACCATGTTGGCCAGGCTGGTCTTGAATTCCTGACCTTAGGTGACCCGACTGCCTCAGCCTCCCAAAGTGCTGGTATTACAGATGCGAGCCACCACGCCCAGCCTCTCTGTGGGCATCTCTTCGCTTGTGCAGTATTCCATTTTTAATATATATTATTTCCTTTGATTTTAATAACCTAGAGAAGAATTAGGCTGATAGCAATTAACTGGATCATTTATTCATTCCTTCATTAATCATTCATCAACTGAGTTCCAAATAACACTCATAGTACTAAGCAAGGATGAAACCAAGAAACCTTTAGAAGCTGTAGTTAAAATTTTCTCCCAAGATGTATTTGCTAGCCCACCATCCTCCTTCCCCAGGGCACACAAACATGGTCTGAAGTCGCATTTCGTTTTAAGGCCCAACCTTGAGAATCAGGAATTCTCAGCTCTCCATTAAAATTTCATTAAGATTGTACACCAGTAAACTACTAAGGGATATTAGGAAGTTAAAATCTGATTCTAATCCCAAAAGAAGTTGCTCACATAGACAGATGCTGGACTACCTCTAAAGGTCTTTTCTAGGCGCACTGGCCTGATTCAGAACTTCAGAGGCCCTAGACTTGGTTAAACTCCACTCAGTGCTCAATTCTAGAAGCCAGCCTTGGGGTGAAGGGATTAGGCTAGATTCAAACATTCAACAATTTTCATTTTCTGTTTTAAAAAAAAAAATCACTCACTATTCACAGTATTTTAAGTCTTCAGTGGCATTTTACTTCTGATAATGACACCTAAATTCAGATGAAAGGGAAATAACTTTACTTGTTTAAATTAAATGGGAAGGGGGAGGCCAGAAATTATGAGTAAAAGATATTATCCAAATAAACATATGATCTCCCTATGATCATTTATTAAATAAGATGTAAACCTCTATGAGAGGTTTACATCTTATTTAATAACAGCAGCGATCTTAAATCTTATTTAAGAGGTTTACATCTTATTTAATAACAGCAGTGATGTCTTTCTCAGCCACAGTCCCACTAGTTTCAAGGACAATCCTATCAGTCCCGTTGTCAGAACCCAAGAATCAAGAGTTACCAGTTAACCTCTGATAAATTTCCTTGCACGTTACGAATTTAGCATTCCCCCTCTTCCTGAAGCTAAACATCCCCCACTATGTCATAGGATATTTACTGTTCTGTACTTATCACTAATTCTCGGTTCTACATCTCCTACGTTTTTATGAGTGTATCTGCCCACAAATTATAATCAGGCATGACCTTAGGGATCCAGAGCTCATTACAAAGCTAACATTACGCTCAGTTCTTGTGCTAAACTAGCTTTTTCTCATTGTTGATGCCAGGGCCACCAATATCAGAATCGCTTGAAATTACTACGCCCCATCTCGGTATCTGGAGGTGGGGTCTGCTCATCTATTTTAACAGTGAGTCTATGCATATTGCGGTTTTGCAGCAGTATGCGTAGACGCAGAAAACAAAAAGTTCCAAGTAGTAATTTTAAAGAGTTCTGAGTTTCCTCGTCTGTCTCTCCGCGCCTGAACTTTCCTTGGCAATAGGTGAACAACAATATTTACGTCACACCACGCGAAACTTCAGGGGGCCCAGCTGGTTTATGCTGCGTCGAACTGGAAAGTTTAGTTACTGTGACGTTAAGAATGTGTTCCGGAGGCAAGGGGAGGAAGCTTTTTGCAGGTTTTGATGGTTTGCCTGAGGAGGAAGAGGTGAAGGTCGGAGAAAGAGTGAAGCAAATCACGGGGCCCTCCCGGCTACCGCGCCGAGTTCTCAAGGTGCCGCCCACACGCGGGGAAACCCCGCCGGGCGTCTCCCGCCGCAGAAGGGAATCGCCCCAGGGATTAGGAGGCCACAGCACGAGTTAAGAAACACAACCGAACCACGCGGACGGGGTCGCAGCATTACCGGGTTGCGACAGGTCTTGAAGCGCGGGTGACATGCTGTCGAGTCTCCTCCTCGCGCAGAGGGCGCGGCGGGGAAGACGCGCTCTCCACAGGTGACGACGGCCAAGGGCCACGCCAGCCAGCGCCAGGCGAACCTGCCACAGAAGGCCCGGGTCTTTTGACGCCTCCCGTTGGCTCGCGTCGCGGGGGAACTGAGGACCCCGAAAGCCCGCTGCGCCCTAGGGCCTCTCTC